CTTGCATTCACATTAAGAAAAAGACCCCTATTTTCTAACAATGAGACCAAGGAGGTTGTTCTCAGCCTATAAGGCAAGAGAATAACTGACTGGATTTAAGTAAATCATTAGATAATTCCTCTGGAATTTTTGCAATTTATTTTTCCTTCCACCATTCTGCCCTGCATGAATGCAGGGAATTTTTTCCCCCTTAATCTTAGAAGGTAGCAGAAATAGATATTCTGAAAGAAGGAATGTGATTTTCCTAGAACCAGTAACTCAAGGAAAAAACTGAAATCTTTGTGCATTGAAATCTTGGATTGCAAAACAAATCTGAAATAGGAAGCATCATAGAGACCTCAGCCACCCAAGTACTTCGTCTGTACACTGTTGGGCATCTGAATCCTTGGAAATGTCTGGTGTTCAGCACCATATAAGCCAAACCCATGGTTTCCTTTCAGGCAGCATGTGGTTTCCCTTAAATATACTATTTAGGAAAACCTTTGGCTTTAAGGATGATGACTTTTTTCTCATTAAAAAAAAAATTACTTGTTCTTCAACTCATTTACTTCTAATTCTGGTTAGCTATTCAGCCTTTCTACTCATTGCAGCAACCTTTGTAAACAGTGTTCTCCGAATGCCCAATTCCTTCATTCCAATAGGATCCGTGCAAGTTAGATCAGTTACGATTCATGTGCAATTAAACAACTGTTCTCAAGTGAACAGTAACTGATGATAAAATCTGAATGTTAAAACCATGCAAATACTCATGTTAAGTGATTTTTTAAAAATCAGATACAGTATATAACTGCTGGATTTTCCGTGTGAGATCTTCACCCTTTTCCTCTCCCTTTCCCCAGAAAAACAAAAATTGTATTCTTAGATTGCGTGCTTAATTACTTTTTTAAAAACAAACTTTAAGCAAAAAGTTTAAGAAAAAAAGAAAACTTTTTTTCTCTATTTTTGCAGTGTCTGCTTAGGTTTTATCAATCTCTCAAAGATAATGTGAACCTTGGGTGTTTTGTGTTATAGATCATTAGCTGAGCAGCTTTTTATCTGCTGGACTTCACTTTTCCTTCTCAAACATGTTTTTCTTTGAATAATCAATGCTTTCTGTTACTCTCAGATGCATTTGTATCACCACAAAACTAGTGTAACCCGGTGAAGTACACACCCAAACCATGCAAGAGCCATTTAAGAGTAGATCTTTTTATTTAGTCAGCCCTCGGGATAGAAGGAGAAATCACATCCCCAACTGGCTTTTGACTTTTTCATTACCAGATGCAGAGGCTAGAAAAGAGAACTGGACAAATATGGGCTTGGGTGAATGTTAGGTTTCTTTGCATGTACTAAAGCAACACAGAGCTGAGGCACAATAAACAAACATGCATTATGGGTTGTTTTCAGTCACTTTATAGACATATGCATTCATAAATTTTGATACGGTTGTAAGAAGCTGACTTTGATGGGACCAAACTCACAGACGAGCTTTCGATCGCTGGAGCAACCACAGTCTAACTTTATGTTGACAATTTATCAGCTCCTCTCCGTCAAGGAAAATTGTTTTTTAGTGCTTGCCTATTAGCAATCACATGCATAATATGAAATTGAGTTTTGGGGAGGACGGCCTGCCATCTGTCTTTCTGATATTTTCTTTTTCAGTGTTTCATGCTCAAGTTCAACACTGTGTGTATCAGACTGCTGTAAAACAAGATTCACCCATAACATGGGCACTTAGCAAGAAAAATGGGCCAGATACCAATGTTATCTTATAAGTTGCAGACTTTAAAAGGCAAATCATTGATACCCCAATCTGTGCATTATCTTTTGAGTGCACTTCAAATCCTGCCTGCCTCTTAAACCAACTTTGGCATAGCTGGTTCTTAAAGAACAGTTCATTAGTGTGCTTCAAAAAGTGTTAAAACACTTATAAAAATAAAAATTCAAAGAGAAAGTGGAATGCAATGTGAGGTTAAGAAAATGGAGCTATAAAGGATTGGTGTGAAGAATGAAAAAGATGTATTTAGTTTCCCTCTCAAGTTCCAATATGCTAAGATTTTTATCAATAATTTTGTTTTTCTGCAACAATACCTGCCTCAGGGAAAATCTGCTCTGTAGCTATCAGGATTATATTTCTCAAAATATGTTTAAGATGATTCTGTTAAGTTGATAAAAAATAGTACACTCCACAATGTAGAAAAATTGTTCAAAAGAACATTCCCAAGCCTTTCATGTGTAACTGCATTTGTGTGGCAGGGCATTCAAAATGTATGCTATAAATTCCATCACGGATTTTGGCCAGTTCAGATTGATTCTGTAGTAACTGTAAGTAATGAATCTTCCAGAACCAAAGGGAGGAGGGAAGGAGGAGGATGTGAAGTAACCAATACACGTGTGGCTGTGGAAATACAAATCGTAGGGTTCATTTAGTCACAGCTTTTATCAGATCATGTAGCCAATACCCTAGAAAGCAAGAAAATACACATCTGGAAAAAATCTACAGGTTCCTTGACCTGACTCCAGGAGCTCCAACAGGCAGATGCAAGAGCCTTTCTAAGAAAAGAAAACAATTAATTTTTTCCCTGAGCCTTTACGTCCCCAATTTTTTCTTCCCATCTTTTTTTATTTTTCCCCCTAAAGTATGGGCAGATGTCCACCGTACAAGAGCAGCAAAAAATGGAGCTCTATTCCTAGGGAAAAGTTAGCCATCTCTGTGCTTGGCCTACCTCAGCTCCCAAGAACTGGGACTGGAAGGGCCCTTCACCCAGAAGAGGCTCCCAGGGGCTAGGGCATGACTGTCATCAGGTCAGACTTTTGAGAAGAGGAAAATCCGTTTTCCTGCAGTTGATCACTCCAACTGTTAAGAAACAAAGGTAACCAGTGAGATGAATAGCAGGAGAAACACCACTCAGAGGTGCCCGGTGATGCCCCAGGGTGGCAGCTGGAGCAACAAGGGGTATGTGAAAGAAGCTGGGGCATCAGGCACCGCTCCTGTGCAGCAGTGAGGCAGTACCACCTAAGATTAGAGGTCTCTTAGGTTGTTGCTGGGGTTTTTTTTCCTGATATTCTTTAAATCTGAGCCCTCAGGAAATAGTGTGGGAGATTGGGATCATGGACATCAGCAGAGTAGACAGACTTTGGGAGGGAAGGAGGAGAGGAGCATGGAAAAAAGTGACATTAGAGACATATTTCACCTACTATGGGCCTCAGTTCATTCTTACCAAGTTCCCTGTCCTCTCTGCCCTCATTCCTTAGCAGTGGAAGGGGAGGTGCTTGGAGGGGCAGTGGACTAGGTCAGGCCCAGGATGCTGGCTCATTGGTGATAGCATGGGCATAAGGTGGAATGTAGGAAAGCAATATTTTGTTCCAGTCCTGGGGTCTGTATTCCCATCCCCAATCCCACTGGATTTTCCAAAACACAGAGGCACAAACAGATAATCCATCACAGAGAATGGTAAAGTATCCTCACTATCTGTCACCAACAATACCACAAATTCTTCTGAGATGCTTTCCCTATGTGTATTTCCATGTCCCTCTTAAGAATCATAGATTCAGAGCTGAAAGGCCCATAGATATGGTGTTTTACTATGGTGAAGAAGAGCTGATAGACTCGACCATTTGGGACCTCTTGAAATATGCATGTCTCTCATTGGGTTATTTGTTGGAGGTAATCATTAACTGCCAAGAGACGTCCTGTGTCAAACCACAGACACAGCAGGGCAAGTCTTCAGATACAGGCACACAGAGTTCGCCAAATGGAGAAGCCCAGAGCCATGTGGGGTGGATACTGGTACCAGGCCCAGAATGGACATTCCCAGCTCCAAAGGAAACCTAACAAAAGCCTCTTCATGTGCGTATCGCTTGTTACTATTAGCATTACAGGAACTCACCATCAGTCCCCCTCCTAAGACCTTTCTGATGAGAACATCTGGACACAGACTGAAAGAAAAGGCAGTTTCACAATGAAAAGAAATACAATGTCCCGCCTTGAATCCTCTTTTATAAATGAGTAGGGGATGATAATGAGTTTTAGAAAATTGAGAATTATTTTAGCTGCATTCACAGAGAAGTGCTTGCTCCCAAACTGTGCACAGCAACAATTGGGCTACTTCTCATTTGGTTCCATCTTTATTTCCAGTGGTCAGGCTGGAATTTGAACATATCATTTAGAAAATCATAATCATTGAGAAGATTGAAACACCAGTCAACTTCCAGAACTGTTTGGTGTGTCTTTTATAAGTCAAGAGGAAATAAAAGTGGGGCTGTGCATAGAGAGAAGCATATGACTTTCCAGAACCTAGACAATTCAGCAGGTGTATTTAGGAGCAGCTGAAACTACCATAGGGTCAATTGGGTGAGTTGTATAAAAATTAGCTGTTAATCGAAGAATTAAAATATTTGTACAGAAGTTGATTCACACATATTGGAATCTAAATTCTCTACAGCTCTCAGCTATGTATTAATAGTTTTAGCCCAATAGAGCCACCAGACAGAAATGAGCAAAAATCATCTATAAATTATTAACAGCTGAAGGTCATCAACAGTACAGATATTTATAAGTAGCTTTTGGATATGTAATGACTAAATATCAAAAATGATCATGTTAATGGCATTTTTGGTGATTTGGTAGAATTGCAGAGCCATGGCCTCAGAATCAACAGACATAGGTTTAGTTCTGGTTTTGCCGTTTGATATATAGTTGAGCATAGGGAACTCATTTAGCCTCCCTGAGTCTGTTGAAAAGGAATAGTGCCTCTTCTGGAGATATCATAGAGTTATTATGAGATTCATGTAAGATAATATGAGTGAAAATGTGTAACCCCAAGTCTGTGTTAATATCTCATATTATCTTTATTGGATTATAACTATAAAATCTAGGATTTTAACACTTCAGAAGACTTTTGGCTTATGTTTATTGCTAGGAATTGATCTTTTCCTATTTATTTCTGGTCTTGGTGCATAAATTTTTGCAAAAGAAAACTTTAATGGAAGCCTTCAGATTACACATTTTATTTCTGAAGGTGGCAAAGGGCAGAAAGTATGTTCATAAAATAAAAGGCGGAAGGTATCTGGAAGCTGCCGCCATGGCTCTAGCCCCACTGTGGGGCCTGCAGGTGTGTCAGGAGGAAGGACTGTGGAGCGCCCTGAGCCCGCGGTTGGTGCAGTCTGGGCCTGTCTAATGTTTATATTGGCCAATTGTGAGCTTGGTATGGTATTGTTTATTGATTGAAACCTTATATATCCCCCTTTGCATTGAAATAAAGTTACCAGTGTCAGTAATTAGTAATACAGAGACTTTAAGTTCCTTAAGGTAGAAATAGTAAGTGTGTGCTCTTGGGGGCCGTGAAGAGCCCAACTCACTGGTCATTTTCTGTGGTTCTAACAGGGTGGCATCTGGAAGTATCCAGTTGTATTCAGGAAGTAACCTATCCCCAGGAAGAATCTTACCAATATATATTTTCTGAAGGCAATTTCATCTTGGAAGTTTTCTGAAGTAGAAAGGAAAAGACTGCTCAGATGGAGCAAAATAGGAATTGAGAGTGGTGGGAGATGGAGAGTGGTCTGAAGAACAGTGAACTTGGAGGCATATCAGAATGATACTGTAGCTGAATAGTCAGAACCAAACACTTCATCTCTCTTAGCTTCCGTTCCTCATTTGTAAAGTGGATACTCGAACACCTGCCCCATCTTCCTATTGTAAGGCTCTTGGAAGGACCAAAAGAAAGAAAGTTGAGAACTTTGTGAGCTGTCATGGAATAGATGGATGGAGACTGTCCATACAGTCCCCAGGTGAGAACTTCTCAGGGTCTGTGTCCTGCCAGGTGGATGGAGGTATATACACTCTGCCTCTAAGGAGACAAAGAGACAGGCGGCAACAAGGAGAGAACAACCCCAGGTAGTACACGCCTCGTCCGATTGGGTGGTAGAGACAACAGTAGAAATTCAAAGGGAAGAGGACAGCTTTGGGCCAAGGTGGCCAAAGGAGAGGAAGAGGAACTTGACATAGATCTTGAAGAATGGATATTGGTTTCACTGAAGGAGGGGTCTTACAGGGAAGGAGTTCCTGGTGAGAGAGAGTGTGAGCAGAGGTAGAACAGAAGGTAAACAAAAGGCAGATTCAGGAGATGGTATGCAAAGCACTGGGAGTCTAGAGGGGCAGGTTGTGGAAGGTAAGATTTCTATGAAGGTTGGGACTAAATTGTCCTAAGACTTCCCTAAAGCTAAGTGGTCTGAATTGTATTCCAGAACGAATCAAGTTTCTTGAATAGTAAAACATAACAATAATGATACTTTGTATCTATGTGGTGCTCTAGGTTGTCAGGGTACTTATAAATACACTGCCTCACGTGGTTCTCTCCACGATGCTGTAAATGGGCTTGGCACGGATGATAATGCCCATGTGACACATAGGAAATGGAGGCTGAGAGGTCACATGGTTGCTTCAAAATTACTTAGCAAGTAAAAAGGGAGAGCATATCATTCCTGATCTGCTTTCCTCAGTGTAAAGACACTTGAGGAAGATGGATCTGGCAGTAAAATGCAGGGTGAACCAGAATGGAAAAAATGAAAGACCGCTTAGAAGCTGTCCCCCAGTTGTCCAGATATAAGACTCAATAATCTTTGGGTGCAATGGCAGTCCATGTGGCTGTAACATCAGCGGTAGGAGACATGGTAAACGAAAAATTCCCAGACCTTTGAAAACTGACTGGCTCTGGGAAGTGAGAGGCAGAGCATCAAAAGAGTTCAAGAGAAGTGGTGCACTCAATAATCCTAACCTCTGATGAAAATGGAAGGGTTACTAAAATTAAAGAGAGGGCCAACATTGTGCCTGAGTGACAGCTGAACACTAGCCTTACTCACATTTGTTCCTTAACCTCACCTGGACAGGATGCTGGCCTTTCCTTTTATTCACCTTCCTATTACTGCTCTGATCACATGAATTAGGTGTAGGTGGTGGACTAGGAGCTCTGAGTGAGTGTGCCAGCCCCGTGAAGGGCACAAAGCAGTGCCTGATAAGGGTTAATTAAGCACTTATCAATTGAGTGAGAGAGTGAATACATGAATGAATGCCCTCATGGTTTTCCTCCTAACCTCAGGTCAAGTCATAGTATTTTTTCCTAAAGAGTCTTCAGTGGTAGCCCCTGTGTCTATGAAGCACTAATGCCTTTGTCCCGCACTCATTCCCTGAGCACCTCGCCACCTCTCCTGGTGTCCCTCTGTGCACCTTTCCATCCCTAAACAAAAAACCAGTGTGTCTCTGTGCTTCTGCTTATGGCAGTTCTTCAGTCTAAATGCCAATCAAATCCTTTTCGTCCATAAGAATTCAACTCAAACTCTTACTCTGCCCTCCCAAACTCTTACTCACCTCCCATCATGCCCCTCAGGACAGTTCTGCCATTGTTTCCCCTCACTTGGCATTTACAGGTCTCATGCACAGCGTGGCTTGTATATCCATCTCCCCTGACAAGTCTGCCCCCACAGGGCCTAGCACGGTGGTGGCACCTAGGAAGGGTTCATTCAATGAGGGAAAATGGAGAAAAATGGCAAAAGAACTGCTTAGAGAATAAGACAGTGAGCTTAATTTTCATGTTCTCTTATTAAATGTACCCTTTTTATATAGATTCCTCTCAGTGAATAATGAAATTCATTCAAACATTGCATATTTGTACAAAGCAACTGCATCCCTTTGCCTGTTAAGATGCAGAGCAGTTTTACTCTAATATCCAGCGTTTCACTTGTACTCAGTGGAAAAAGCCCACTCAAACAAAAGGAAGAACTGACATATTCGGGATTGACAGATATCAAGGGACACTACCATCTAATCTCTTTATTGATTAATTTGAAGATAATTTCCTGGTAACCCAGCTTCCAAAAATGTATTTTAAGTGACATGTTGGTAAAAGAAAATTAATTTCTCTGCATTAAACTTGCCAGCTTTTGAGTTAATTGCATGAGTATAATAATCAATTAATAAATGTTAAGCAAACAAGGGAAAATTGGTCAATTAAAAATGACAAAATTGATTCTGAGAGTAGATAAACCAAAAGATTGTCATAATGCTCATTTCTAAGTTTTGATATCCTGCTTCTGTACAACTGGCTTGCCACTTTTTACACAGCACTCAAATTGCTGGAGCCTTATTATCATTTCTTATAAATAAATTACCACCTAAGCCTTCTTCTCTGCTTTAGCAGAGAAGGAAATCAAACATAAACAGCAGTCCCCTAGTAGCTTCTAGGTCATTGCTTTGGGAAAGAGTGCCACCCGCAGTGCTGTGCCCAAATGTTTTTGAAAGGGAAGCCTTCACAAGATAGACTAACGTTCCCCAAATGGCCAAATACTCTGCCAGGAGGAACTTCTTTCTCTTGCCTTCCTTTCTCTGGATAATAAACTCATATGTCTTCCAGAAACCAGGCAAAGTGGGGAGTGGCAGGGCCTAAGGAGTGTGCCTGCCTTCTTAGAACATTCAGATGGAACCTTCTTACACTGCACTGTTCATACTGTCATATCTGGGGCTGAACATAGCCTGGGACACATACATGGGTTTACTCTCCTGGCCTGGATTTTGAAATTTGCTCCCCACTCGTGAAAAAGTGGCTGCTTTGGAAATGATGCCTAAAGAAAGTATATGAAGTGTAGAAATTGTCCTCTGAAAATATCTGTAGGCTATGTAGACCTCAGGTCTGTGGAGCATTATTATTGTTGTTTACCTGGCCTGGTATGTTCGTCTTCAGTCCTGACTCAATTATGTGTTTTATCAGAAAATAACCCCATTGGACTCTCAGACATGGACTTAAAGTCAGGGATTGGAACATGCACAGCCCTAATTTCCCCATCTGGCCAAGGGCATTATCATAATAGATACATCTAAAATATCTAAAACTATTCATATTTTAGCAAATAGATCTCCAGGTACTTTGCAAAATGAAACTAAAGAAGCACATTTGAATTTCTACATCTGATTGAATATTCACTTAAATGATGACAATTTCTCAATCTTAATATAACCAAAACAAAACCCACCTCTGAAAATGTTTTGCTATCTACCAATCTTTTGCGTTCTTGCTAAGTGGCACCATCCTGCATCCTAGGGCTCCTGCCAAAGCTTAGGAGTGTCTGCTGAGACCAGCCTTTCCCTCAGACCTGACGTATTGTTACATCAGCACATTCTGTCAAATTTACCTTCAAATGTGTATCCACAACCCAACTACTTCCCATCATTTCCTCGTGGGCTGCCACCAATCTCCTCCACTGGACATCTTCAGGAGCTGGTGCTTGGCCCTCCAGCTTTCACTCAGGCCCCCAGAGCAGCATTTACAGCAGCCAGAAACATTAATCAGATCTCCAAACTCCCCCGTTGTCCATCCTTTTCATCACTATCTCCAGAGCCTAGAACAGTGCCTGGCAGTATATTAAGCTCAGTGAGACTTGCTGAATGAATGAAACCATGGAGTTTGAATGAAGTACCCAGAATGCCACAGGAGCATTGGGACATTTGAGAAGCATCATCTGACCTCATAGAAACCAAGAAAGAGGAAGATACCTATCCCTGGGTCTAAGTAATTTACACATCTACCAGTCCACTGCTCACCTCATTCCACATGGAGATGTGAGTGAGTGGGGGCCGTGTGCCCTATCGCCTGAGGCATCTCCTTTGGGGGTTATGTCTGCCTAAACCAAAGTACAAATAAAAAAGTCAAGTGCCGATCTTTTAAACAATTGCATACTTTCTTGGCAGTCATGATAGCACAAGTCACTCTAATCATCAAAAGAATCATTACTTGTTTTGCTAAAATCCCAAGGAAATAGCACAAGATGTGATATTTCAGCACTAATGAGGTTGTGCCTGAAGAAGTGTGATTTTAATTGTGATAGATTTAGAGAATCCATTGCAAAACTGCAGGAGAACAGCATGCTCTTCCCAGTTCTAGGGAAAGTGCATTAATATCCCATGTTTTTATTTTATTTAGTCTTTGCTGGCTGTGTGGAGAATCACGTAAGGTAATGGTGGAGCTACTAGGAGCTACATCAAATAAAGCCTCATAAAGAAGCTTTATTTTCTCCTCCCACACTATGAATGGAGACTGCACAACAGAGGAATATTCATCTTGAGCTGCCTTACAAGCCACTAGATTGATTTTCTGTACCACTGAC